ATGGTGGAGAAGGGATTGTGGTGAGACTGTACTCACTGGGAGGTGCTTTCTCCTTCTCCCTCTTCCTTTCTGTCTCTATGGTGAGTGCACAAAAAAAAAAAAAAAAAAAAAAAAGTTTTCCTTTCTGTTTGTGGATTTTATTTCCGCATTTATTGTAAATTATTTTCTTAAATTTTCTTCTAAACTACCTTTATAGATTTGGAGTTACTTCTATGCATGATGTGAAGTAGATTCCAGTATAATATATTCAGTCTTTTCCCTAGTGAGTTTGAATGACACCTTTGGTGTGTACTGTATTCCCGTTTGTATGTAGTTCTGTTTCTGAGTTCTGTTCTGTTCTACTGATCTCTTTGTTTTTATTATTAGAACTTTAAAGTGTGCTTTGATACCAGTGCTTTGTTCTTTCGATATTCTTAAGCATTTCTTTTTTATTTTAAATTTTTTTTTAGGTTTTTGCTATAGGACGTATGTGCTCGCCAGAGAGAGTCAGAGAGACACAGAGAAAGGAAAAGTGAGAAATCACCCTGCCCATGGAGGGACCACAATGCAATTCTCTTTCCTCCATTCCCCTCTCAGGGTTTTGAGCATGTGTGCATATGTGACTCGCATGATTTTCAAGCTGCCAAATCCGGGGCCTGAACAATAGTTGGCCATGTGGGAATCCAGTGCCTTAACCACAATGCCACCTGCTGGCCCTCAGCTTGACAAATTCTGTGACGATTATGTTGAGGTTTTGATTGCGATGGTGTTGAAGACACAGAGTGTATATTTCAAATACAGTATCCTATTATATCCATTAGGGAAGTAAAAAAAAATTTTTTATGTAGATCAAGCATGTTTACTGTCTATTTCTAGTTTGTTTCTCTTTTTTTTTTTTGGAGAGGTTTTAGCTATAGGGCACGTGTGCTTGTCAGACAGAGAGAGACAGAGAGACAGAAAGCGAGAAATCGCCCCCCAGGGGGATGGCCACACTGCAATCCCTTCTCCTCCGTTCTCCTCTCAGGATCTTGGGCATGCACGCACACGCGCCCGGCGTGAGTTTTAAGCCACCGGGTCTGGGACTCGAACCGTGGTCGACTACATGGGAGTCCAGTGACATAGCCATTATGCCATCTGCTGGTCTCTAGTTTATTTCTCTTTTGAATAGGACTTTTTCCCACTACTTTTTCTATTTAATTTGTTGCTGGCATATAAGAAAGACAATGTTTTGAGATAATCTTGATTTTGGCCACCATATAATAATAATTAGTATTGTTTAAAAATAATTACTTATTTTATTATTTTTAAAACAATTAGTATTGATGTTAAAGTTTTGTTAGTTTAAAGTCTCATGGATTTCCTAGGAAGATGAAACTATAACTTCTGCAAATAATTATTACTCTCTCCTTTTTTTTATTATTTCTGTTGCCTTTTTTTTTCTTGTTGTATTGCATTTTCTAGTACCTCTAGGACAATGTTAAACAGTAGCAAGGTCAGTGGGTATTTTTGTCTTACAGAGGACTTTAGTAAGAAATGTGCTTAATTTTTCTCCATTGAGTTTGATATTTGCTACTTGTTTCTGGTAGACAGCAGTTATCAAGAACTCTTCTTTCCTTCTAATTCTCAGAATAGCCCTCAGGTTGTTCTCGAAGCTTATTTTCTATGTTTTATAGGAGAGGAATGCTCAGTCACAACTTGCCATGAAGCTGATGGTCCTTAATGGGCTCTTGCTTTTGCTGGAATGCTGCAGGCTGGTGACATCCCTTGGAACATCTATTCTTCAACCCTGCTCAAGGACATTTAGAGGCCCTCGTAGGCTTCAAGACCTATGCACCCACTCAATCCACATACAGAATAGGACACTAAATCTTTAGAAAGGAGAAGCAGCTGTCAGTGTAGCACCATGAGATACAGACCCAGGCTTATCAGGCTTCAAGATATTTTATTATCTCCTATTGCCCTTCAGTATGTGTTTCATAAGCATTCTACGTGAGCTTGCCTTAATGAATGCCATTTATTTCCAGACCTTGAGGCCAATGCTTGGCTTAGTTGTATTACTAGCAGGACAATTTGTGCAAGACTCTCTTGTTTTATTTATGTGTATTTTTTCCTTTCCTTCCTTTCCTCCCTTCCTATTCACTATCACCATTGTATAGGTGACAGTTTTCTTTTGTCCAGTTGGTGTTTTTATGTGTTTTTGAGAAATAAGTATTCTCAGGTGTGATATTCTGAATTTGTGTAGTAGACCTTATTTGGTTCCTTCCTGTTTTTCCTCCCCTCAGCTCTGTGCTCCTCCGTGTTGCTGTGTGTCTGTGTCCTGCTCCACATTGTCCTATGTCCATCCAGTCCGTGGTTTCTAACAGCTGCACAGTCCTCTGTGTTGGATGCCCTGATTTTACTCATTCACCCTCTCAGTGCTGGACATCTAGGCTGCCTCCAACCTTCTTCTACAAAGAATACTGATGTAGGCATCCTTATCCTGGATGGGCAAGGTCTTCCCGGGCATGCGCAGCCAGGATCAGAACTTCTGGTAGATACCGAATGTCTGTACTCTATGGCAGAAACGGAAAGATTGGAGGTATCAAAGTATGGAGAGCAAGTGTGGACACCAGAGGCAGTGTGGGCAGAGGGTGGGCAATGGGGATTGGGAAGGGGGAAAAAAGCAAAACATCTAATGGACACAGAAATGGAAAATGATCTGTTCATGATAACTGTATGGTCATATCTTTGCATTAATATGCAGTAGATTCATGCTGGGAAAGTTCGTTTTGTATGTTGTAAGGATATACAGTAATTAAATGTAATAAATAAATAAATAAATAAATAAATAAATAGAACTTCTGGGTCTTAGATGACACATTTACTTAACTGCGTAAATAGTGTCACAGCTCCTTCCTACTGGTCGTACCAGTCGCTCCCACCCCCAGGCACAAGGGTCCCCACCTGTGCATGTCATTTTTCACTCTTCCTATTTTTCCCAGTTTAATAAGTATTTTTATTTGCAGGTTGGTTTATTTCTGTTAGTTTTAAGAAGTTTATTATTTTTTGGTACCAGCAGTTAGCGTAATGGCTATGTCACTGGACTCCCATGTAGACGACCATGGTTTGAGTCCTGGACCTGGTGGCTTAAACTCATGCCGGGTGCGTGTGCGTGCGTGCCCAAGATCCCAAGAGGAGAATGGAGGAGAAGGGATTGTGGTGTGGCCATCCCCCCCGGGAGGTGATTTCTCTCTTTCTGTCTCTCTGTCTCTCTCTGTCTTTCTGGTGAGTGCATGCGCCCTATAGCTAAAACCTCTCCAAAAAAAGAAAGAAAAAAAAAGAAGTTTATTATGTTTTATAGATGGCAGTTCCTTGTTAGTTTTAGATATCCCCCGAAAGTCTCCTCATCTGCCAGTAGCCTATTTTATTTGTCTATGGAGTTCTTTCTTATATGAGAAATTTTAAATTTGAGGTAGTTAAATGCAACATCTTATATGAGAAATTTTAAATTTGAGGTAGTCAAATGCAACAATATTTTTTTAAAAGTATTTATATATTTTGAGAACTGGCAGTTAGCGTAATGGCTATGCCACTGGACTCCCCTGTGGTCGACCGCGGTTCGCATCCTGGACCCGGTGGCTTAAAACTCACGCCGGGCGCGTGTGTGTGCGTTTCCAAGATCCTGAGAGGAGAACGGAGGAGAAGGGATTGCAGCGTGACCATCCCCCTGGGGGGTGATTTCTCGCTTTCTGTCTATGTCTCTCTCTGTCTGTCTGGTGAGCGCACGCGCCCTACAGTGAAAATCTCTCAAAAAAAAAACTTAGGGACCAGCAGTTAGCGTAATGGCTATGTCGCTGGACTCCCACATGGTCGACCACGGTTCGCGTCCTGGACCCAGTGGCTTAAAACTCACACCGGGGGCGTGTGCGTGCGTTTCCAAGATCCCGAGAGGAGAATGAAGGAGAAGGGATTGCGGCATGACCATCCCCCCTGGGGGATGATTTCTCGCTTTCTGTCTCTCTGTCTCTCTCTGTCTGGCAAGTGCACGCGCCCTATAGCAAAAACCTCTCAAAAAAAAAAATATATATTTATTTATGTATTTTATGAGAGAGTAGGGGAAGGAGAGAGAGACAGAGGGGGAAACAGGCAGCCCCAGTAGGGTCTTCATGCCCTGATCCCCCAGCACTGGCCGGCCAGGATCACAGGTATGCATACAGGGAGATCTTGGGATGCAAGCCTGGAACCTTTCTATATGACTTCAGCATCATAGAGCATTACGTTGGTGCTTTGCCACCATGGCTGGCCAAACTCATTACTTTTTTAAGCTACAAGCTGTACATTTAAGCCGTTTTCCCTACGCCTGACTCCTTCCACTTTCCCTCGGCACAAATCCATTCAGTGTTAAGTTCTCCTTTTAGCATTCCTGGGTGAGTTCCAACTCTCCCTTGCTGCTGCTCCTGCTGCTGCTGTTCTCTTATCTCTTGACCTCTCTGGGTGTCGTAGGCCGGGCCTTTTAGAAGCACAGACTGAGCCTTGTGCATATGGTGGTTTATCCAGGGAGACCTCTGGGCATAGGGGTAGGAACTGACACAGCTGTGGTCTGACCCCGTGGCAGCTCTGGAGTGTAGGGGACCCCACAGAGCCCTCCCCTTTGAGACAGGGCTGGGCTGGTACCCCAGAGCTCGTCTGGAATTGGCTGTGCCCCTCCAGCCCTCTGTCCTCGTTGTGGGGACTTAACCTCCCAGGCAGTTCTTGGAAGAAGGCTGCTGTTGTGAGCTGTTAGCAGCTGCCACGTTCAGCGGCAGGGCAGGGACGCTTCCCTGCTGTGTGAAGGGGGTCTGGATAGGCACCAGGAGAACCTGGTCTCCTTGGTGACCCCAGACTCCCATCCTGGCTCTCCCTCTGTATCTCTAACTCATCAGCCACCTCCACTCCAGCGTGGCCCTACAGAGATTGGCAGGCAGTGACCAAAGGCTTGGAGGCTACTCTCCTTCCACATGCTCCTCTGCGGTCGTGACTCTGCCCTGTGTTGCCACCCATAGGTTCCACCAAGGACCTGACCGAGACGTGCTGTGCGGCTGGACAGCAGTGGGCCATCGACAACGACGAGTGCCTGGAAATCCCCGAGAGCGGCGCCGAGGGTGACGTCTGCAGGTAGACCAGCTGCCTGGAGCAGGCAGCGCTGCTCATTCTCCGCCCGATCCCTGCTCTCCTTGGACCTCAGGCCCCAGTAGTGCCAGGGGAGCACACCTCACCTGCCTCCAGCTGCATAAGGGTGACTGGATCCGGCTGCTATGGGCCTCTGGGCCAGGCTTTCTCCAGGCGTGGAGAGCCCCAGGCTGGTCCTGAGAATAAGCTCACAGCGTAAATTTGCAGCTGGCCTCCTGAGCATGATCGGAGGAGTGCACAATTTGGAGCAAGTTTTAAAGGGCTCGTGTCACCTGGGGGCAGGCAGGCTCTTCTCCTGCCACACATTGCAACTGCTGCTCCACAGTGCTCCGCGTCCACAGGCCTCCGCTCAGCCCTCTGGCTTTCCCCACTCACTACCCAGGGATCTCCAAGAGCTTCTGACCATCCTGGGCTGCCTGTGTTCCTTGTTTCGTCTGATTCTAGAGTTCTCAGAACAGGAATCATTGATATCCATGTCCTCCCCTTTGCTGGGCTCCGGAGAGATCTTGGTCAGCCATTCACTCTTTTCTTCCACAGGCTCCATCTAGTCTGAACTCTGCTTCTTTCCAGACGAGAAAGATAAGGTTTGGAGAGGCGATGGGATTCGCCCAAAGCCACGGAGCTTGTTGGCAGCCTGACCAGGATTAGAGCCCATGCTTTCTACTGTCCAGCCCATGTTGGAAATTTGGAAAAAATCTAAATTCTAGCCTTGTCCCTTTCCTTTCCCTCTTAGGAGTTAGAGCATGCATCACTCAGAAACCTGGAGTTTTAAATTAAGGGCCCTAGTGCACATTTGCTTCCCTCTTGTGATGGAGAACTCACCCCTTCCCATCACTGGATAGTCCTTGCCGCATGCCCTCCTCAAGTGGTGCCGAACCTGCCTCCTCAGGACCCCAGACTCCCGTCCTGGCTCTCCCTCTGTATCTCGGACTCATCAGCCACCTCCACCCCAGGGTGGCCCTACAGAGATTGGCAGGCAGTGACCAAAGGCTTGGAGGCTACTCTCCTTCAGGTTGACCTGCACCGTCCTTTCTGGGACTGGTCTCTGTGTCCTTGGCCCAGGTGGGCAGGCTCTGAGTGCCAATTGCTCTCTTTCAGTGAGAAGTCAGGACACAGTGTAAGTCCAGGGGATCCAGGGCAGAGTCTTCTTGGTTAAGCCAACAAATGAAGGTTGGCAGGGATCATATTGGCTCTGCTACCAGCCTGGGCCCTGATCTCTGTGGACCTTCGTCTGAGGATGCCCTGCCCTGCATCTCAGTTTTCCTTTGCATCATGGGGCCCGTCATCCTCATGGAGAGGCTCCCTGGGAGGACTGGCAGGGGCCCGGTGGCTGAGATATACCCTCTCTTGCAGGACAGCCCAGGAGCAATGCTGTGTCTCCTACCTCAAGGAGAAGAGCTGCATGGCCGGTGTCATGGGGGCCAAGGAGGGCGACACCTGTGCGGTCGAGGACAACGACACCTGTGGAGTCTCCCTGTATAAGGCAAGCTAGGCCCCCGATGGGAGGGCGACGCAGCGGGGCCTGCAGGTCCTTGAGGGCCTGGGGGTGGGGGAGACACACATCATCACTCAGTTATCCTATTGACTAATTCGCAGATTACTCCTGGAACACCGGTGGGTGTTGGGCCCTGTGTTAGGCAAGAGAGGATGTAAATTTCCACCCTCTTAATACTTCTTAATACAGACAAAGATGGAGCTGACTAGGCTAATGCAGAGTATGTTAGAAGGGTAATCGTGCTCAAGAGGAAGAACTCAAGTGTGGGGGACGTCAGGGCTGGGAAGGGCTGGAGTGTTAGCTGACAGTGGCTGGGGCAGGGTCACTAAGACGGTGACATTTGTGAAACATCCTGGAAGAAGAGGGGGGCGAGCCATGTGGACATCAGTGAAGCTGTCCAGGCAGCGGGAGGAGCAGGCACGGAGGTCCTGAGGTGGGTGTGTGCTGAGCGCTAGCACATGCTGGGAGCAGCTAGGCCTGCATGGCTGCAGTGGCGTGATGAAGGAGGCGTAGCTGTAGCTGAGACCATAGAGGTGACGGGATGTCCATCTTGGAATGACTGTGGTTCCACTCGGAGTGAGAGGGAAGCCATGGGGGGATTTTTTTTTTCAAGGCTTCTTTTTTGAGAACATGAGAGAGAGAGAGAGACAGAGAGAGAGAGAGGCAGACATAGATCACTGACAAGGTCTTGCCGTGCTGTGATCTCCCCCCAACCTTACAGTCAGCGGGATCTGACAGGGACTGTCATTGAGGGCAGCTCTCCCACATGTGTGATCAGGATAGGGTAGAACCTTGCCAGGCAGCAGTGGGGCAGAGAGAAGGGGGGTGCTTCAAGCAGAGGGAACAATGTGAGCCAATGCACAGGGGCAGGAACATATGTTTTTTTTAGTCCACTTTCCTGTTGATGACAAGGAAATACAACGCTGGGTCATTTCTAACAAAAGAGATTACTTTGCTCATGGTATTGGAGGCCCAAGGGCCAAAGGGCTATATCCAGTGAGGGATTTCTTGCCAGAATCCAGAGGTAGCATAAGGTCTCACTTGGTGAAAGCTTTAGTGTCTGTACCTCTATTTCAAGCTCTCATTCTCTGAAGCCACAAGGTTTCAATCATGGGGCCCCCACCCTGATGATTTTAATCCTAACCACTTCCCCAAGACCTCACTTCATAATACCATAGATGGATTAAGTTTGCACCCTCTTAATACCTTCACAACACAACCAAAGTTCAACCCATGGATTTGAGGGGAACTCATTCAAACCACAACAGTGTTGAAATGGGGTGTGCAGTCTGGTCAATGTGACCGCAGTAGGGACAGGCTGCCAGGAGCCCTCAGGCTGGGACATGAAGGACTGTGAATGGTGCACTGAGAACTTTGGACTTCGGGTGGAGGGTACATGGGCCCTGGGAGGTATTTACACAAGAAGATCGGTTTGTGGGCCAGAGCTCACATGGGCCACTGGGGGTTAGGGCCAGGTCAGGACCAAGTCAGGGTGGTAGTGTGGCTACTTAAACCTTTTTTTAAAAAAAAAATATTTATTTAATTATGTATTCATTCATTCATTTATTTTAATTTGACCAGGAAGAGATACACAGAGAGAGAGAGAGTCAAGGTGAGAAAGCAAGCCACCAGGTCCAGGACTTGAACCATGGTCGGCCATGTGGGAGTGTCTAGTGCCTTAACTACCATGCCACCTGCTGGCTCCCAATAGTGTGGCTACTTATAATGGACAACTCCCTAGAACATTGGTTTTTCTTTCATATGCTGGAGGATGGAGACAGATGGGCCACATGAGAGGAGCTGGGGCTTTGTAGTCCCCAGGGACAGGGCCTCAGGGTTTTGCTGGCTTGTTGCTCTGACAGCTTTAACTTCCTGCCTTCTGATCCAAGATGATAATTTGAGCCCTAGTCAGAGGCAGGAAGAAAGGGGAGAAAAGCCCTGATTGTTTTAAATTGTTTAGTTATTAAAAACAAAATTTTGTGAGAGGGTATATATATATATATATATGCTTGCCAGAGATAGACAGAGGGAGAGAGGGAGAAAGCACCCCCCACACAGGGCCTTGTCATACCACAATCCCTTCTCATCCATTTCTTCATCCTGTCAGGATTTTGGATAAGCACATTCCTGCATTTAGCATGTTTTTCAGGCCGTTGGGGCCAGGATTCAAACCACATTATTTGTGCTTACCAGATAGACAGAGACAGAGAGACAGAAAGTGAGAAATCACCACCCAGGGGGAATGGCCATGCCGCAATCCCTTCTCCTCTGTTCTCCTCTCGGGATCTTGGGCATGCACACACATGCGCCTGACATGAGTTTTAAGCCACCAGGTCCAGGACTCGAACCGCGGTCGACTACATGGGAGTCCAGCGACATAGTCATTACTCTAACTGCTGGTCCCGCCCTTCAATTATTTTTGATCGTGGTGAAATACATGTAACATAAAATTGGTCATCCTAACCATGTTTAAGTGCGCAGCTCCGTGGCATTAAATACGCTCACACTGTTGTGTATCCATCACCACCATCCATCTCTAGAAGTCTTCATCCTCCCCAACGGAATCTCTGCACCCTGTACACACTGCCTCATTCCTCCTCCCATTGGCCCCTGGCAGCCTCCACCCACTTTCTGTCTATGACTTTGATTATTCTGGGATTTCAGACAAGTGGAGTCATGCAGTATTTATTCTTTAGTAACTGGCTTATTTTACTCAGCATACTCATCAAGGTTCATCCACTTTGCAGCATGTATCAGAAATCCTTTGCTCTTGGGACCAGCAGTTAGCGTAATGGCTATGTCACTGGACTCCCACATAGTCGACCGTGGTTCGCGTCCCGGACCCGGTGGCTTAAAACTCATGCTGGGTGCATGTGCATGTGTGCCCAAGATCCTGAGAGGAGAATGGAGGAGAAGGGATTGCGGCGTGGCCATCCCTCCCAGGGGGGTGATTTCTCACTTTCTATCTCTCTGTCTGTCTGGCGAGTGCACACGCCCTATAGCAAAAACCTCTTAGGAAAAAAAAAGAATTTCTCTCCTTTTTATGGCAGAATAATATTTCATTTCATTGTGTGGAGATGTAGTACAGTGGTCTATTGATAATTTGATTCTGTGTTTTGACTATTGGGAATAGGCTGGTATGAACATGAGTTTAAGAAGAGCCCCCTTCCTTCCCTTTTATAGTGAGATTTTTGCTATAGGGTATGTGCACTTTTCAGAGAGGCAGAGAGACAGAAAATGAGAAATCATCTAACCCATACACAATCCCTTCTCCTCCATTCTCCACTCAGGATCTTGAGCATGCATGCACACACACCAGGTGTGTTTTAAGCCACCAGATCTGGGACTCGAACAGTGGTCAACTACATGGGAGTCCAGCGGTGTAACAATTACGCCACCTGCTGGTCCCAAGAAGAGCACCCCTTTGAGGGCAGACAGTATTTCTGCTTAGATCTCATTGGCTAGAACTTAGTCCAATGGCTACACCTAGCTGCAAGGGAGGCTGGGAAATACAGTCTTTATTCTGGGAGTTTGCTCCACAAAAGGCTGTTTATTTATTATTGTACTCAGTGCCCCACTGAGAGTGAGGAAGAAGGGAAGACAGACATCTAGATCAACAGCTGGCTGTCTCTGTAACAGAGTGAGGGCAAACTAGGTTAGCGGAACAGTTCCGGGAAACTTTGCAGAAGAGTCCCGAGATCCTGACTGGGGAGATGAGGTGGAACAGTTGAAGCTGCTCAGTGTCTCCAGTCTTGGTGATGGTGACAGAGCCCTTTGAAGGAAGGAGGCATTTAGGAGATTTCAGTTTTGAGTTTTATCACGTTTGCGTCATTTTTTTTTTTTTAAACCAAAATCCCAAACCCTGATATTAGGGAGTGGACTTTGATGATAGGCAATTTCAGAATCCCTTTTCTGTCTTCATATTTGGCTATGGACCAGTTTTTTTTTGAGGCTCAACTTCTCCTTCTGTGAAATGGGAATAACAATCCATGTTTGTGGGGTAGTTGTGAGAATTAGAGACAATGCAATAAAGTGTTCATTAAATATGTGGTGTCCTTCATTAAGTGGACTGGTTCTACCTTTAGGATGCAGACCTGGAATCTCAGCTGTTGCCATGGAAACAACCACCCCAAACTAAGTGGATTGTGATTGGCTTAGTGTATGAGCCTGTGGTCAATGGAGTACTTCTGCTGTCTACACTTAGCAGAGTCTGGCTGGGCTTGCTTATGTGGCTGCTGTCAGCCAATGCCTTTCCTGGGGTCGATGATCTGGGATGACCTCAGCTGGAATGACTTGCCTCTGATCCATGCAGTCAGTGCCCTGACTGGTTAACATGGGCTTGTTCAGTTAGGGGCTGAGCGTGATTCCAAGAAAAGGAGTGGAAGCTTGTAAGGCTTTTAAAGCCATTGGACAAAACTGGCACACTGACAATTTAATCTCATCCTTTTGGCCAAAGCCATCACTAAGAAGTTGGGAAATAGGCCTTTTCTCTCTCTGTCTCTCTCTCTCTCTTTTTAAAGCATTTTTTTTTTGCCTTCGGGCCAATGTGCTTGCCAGGGAGAGAGAGAGACAGATATAGTGAGAGGGAGAGGGAGAAATTACCCCCTGAGGGAATGGCCATGCTGCAATCCCTTCTCCTCCATTCTTCTCCTGGGATCTTGGGCATGCATGCACATATGCCTGGTGTGATTTTCAAGGTACCAGGCCTGGGACTTGAACCGCAGTTGGCCATGTGGGAGTCAGCAATGGTTCCTGCCCCCTCTCTTAATAGAAGCTGCAGAATCACATTGCAAAGACAGTGGATAAAGGGAAGAGCGAGGAACTGGAGCTATTATTGTAACTAGTTTTATTATTATTATTTTTTAACCTTTAAGCACTGTGTATCATTACAGCATACCAAATGGATTTTCCCATCTTGAATACACTGTATATTGGTTCATTCAAAGATATTATCATACACATTCTCATGAATAGATAATTTTCCACTTTTGTGTCCCTAAAATGTTTTGCTTCTTTCTTTTTACCATTGATTCTTCTCTCTCACCCTTCCCCATTTCCTACCCTCCTCCCACATGGTCTCTAGAATCACTATTGCTCTCCGTCTTTTATACCTTCCAACTTTTCTGTTTCTGCCATAGAATTCAGACATTCAATATATATCAGGTGGGGACATACAATGACTCTCTTTCATAGTCTGGCTTGCTTCATTTAGCAGTAAGTCTTCCACATTCATCTACTTTCTATCAAAGGTCAGGGTCTCATTTTTTAAGGCTGAATAATATTCCATAGTGTATATGTGCCACACTTTTTCAATTCATTTATCTGTTCATGGACATTTGGTTTGGTTCCATGTCTTAGCAATTGTGAATAATGCTGCAATAAACATGGATGTGCAAGTGTTTTTCCAACTGAGTGTATTCCTATCTTTTGGTTAGATACCCATTGGAATTGAAGTGGAATTGCTGGATCATTTAGTAGTTCTATTTGTAGCTCTTTAAGGAACTTCCACAGTGGCTGTACTAATTTACATTCCCAAAAACAGTGTAGGAGAGTTACCTCTTCACTGTAGCCTTGCAAGCACTTGTCACTATTGTTTTTAATCTTAGCCATTTTGATGAGGGTTAGGTGGTATCTTATTGTGATTTTGATTTGTATCTCTCTTATGATAGATGTTGAGTATTTTTTTAATGTTTTTTAGCTGTTCATTTGTCTTTCTTAGAGAGTTGTCTGTTCAGTTCATTTGCCCATCTTTTAATTGGATTATTTATTTTTTTGTAGGTAAGCTGCTTGAGATCCTTGTATATTTTGGTTATCAATCTCTTATCCAAGGGAGATTTTGCAAATATAGTCTCCCATTTCAAGGGGTGTTTTTTTTCTGTTTAATTATTGTTTCTTTTGCTGTGTAGAATATTTTTAACCTGATGTAATTACACTGGTCTATTTTAGGGATTATTGCCTGTGCTTTGGGAGTCTTATTTAAGAACTCTTCTCATTTAAGAAGCCTACTCTGATGTCTCCAAGAGTTACCCCTATACTTTCCACCAGTAGTTTTATAGTTTGAGGTCTTATGTTTAGATATTTGATCCATTTTGATTTGATACTTGTTAACGGTAAGAGATAGGGGTCCAGTTTCATTTTCTCTGCAGGTGGATACTCGATTTTTCTAGCACCATTTGCTAAAGATATTTTATTTTGGGAACCAGCAGTTAGCGTAATGGCTATGTCGCTGGACTCCCATGTAGTCAACCGTGGTTCGCGTCCCGGACCCAGTGGCTTAAAACTCACGCCGGGCATGTGTGCGTGCGTGCCCAAGATCCCGAGAGGAGAATGGAGGAGAAGGGATTGCGGTGTGACCATCCCCCCTGGGGGGTGATTTCTCGCTTTCTGTCTCTATGTCGCTCTCTGTCTGTCTGGTGGGTGCACGCACCCTATAGCAAAAATCTCACACACACACACAAAAAAGATATTTTATTTTCTCCACTGGATTGTCTGATGCTCTATTTTTTAATTTAATCATTAGCTTATAGCATTCACCTCCAGGGTCACTGTATGGCTCAAGATGGAAGCTAAAGCTCCAGCCATCACATAACTCCAAGAAAGAGGAAGTGGGAGAGCAAAAAGGATGTATTTTCAGGTTCAGTCAACCCAATTTAAAACTTTGCCCAAAACTCCACTTAGTGAATATCTTTATAACTACAAAGGCCCCTGGGCAATGCTGTCTTTTAGGTAACCTGAATAGAATTGGGGTCTGCTAGTAAAGATCGGAGGATAATGACTGTGGCTGGAGGTTAATTTATAGTCCTTACCCTCAAAGGCCATGTATTTATTCTTTCAAGATGTGTATTGGCCCCGGTTTATGCCAGACCTAGGCAATGGAGGCAGACAACCCCTCTGCCCAGACAGAAGTGACAAGAAAATGGTGAATTCTGGGACCAGCAGTTGGCGTAATGGCTATGTCGCTGGACTCCCATGTAGTCCACTGCAGTTCGAGTCCTGGACCTGGTGGCTTAAACGTACGCTGGGCGCGTGTGCGTGCATGCCCTGAGATCCCGAGAGGAGAGCGGAGGAGAAGGGAGTGCAGCATGGCCATTTCCCCTGGGTGGTGATTTCTCGCTCTCTGTCTCTGTCTGGCAAGTGCACCTGCCCTATAGTAAAAACCTCTCCAAAAAAAGGAAAAAAAAATTAAAAAAATGCTGACTTCATCTTCCTTTCTCAGACCCACTCTAAGGCCATGCCCTGGGCACTTTGTGTGAATCACACAGGTTCAGAGACCTTGGGACAGACAGCTGGGCTCTGAGGGGGCAGTGGTGGTGAAAGCGTGTCTCTCCCTCCAGCAATGCTGCGACTGCTGTGGCCTGGGACTCCGTGTGAGGGCCGAGGGCCAGCTGTGCGAATCCAACCCTAATCTGGGCTACCCGTGCAACCACGTCATGCTCTCCTGCTGTGAGGGCGAAGAACCCCTCATCGTCCCCGAGGTCCGCCGGCCCCCAGAGCCTGCAAAAAACAGAGAGGTGGGTATTGCCCCTCCCTGGCTGGGGCACAGAGGGCAGTTGGGTGAGGAGCGGGAGAACTGTTGGGGCTTCCAGCCAAAGACTGAGTGACTGTTGGCCTTTTCTGGGGACCCCGGTTCATCATCGTCCACAGCATGAGGCACAAGCTCTGCTCTTTTTTTTTTGTTGTTCCCAGAGGTCTTCACTCTAGGGCGTGTGCGCTCGCCAGAAAGACAGAGAGAGACAGAGAGACAGAAAGAGAGAAATCACCCCCCAGGGGAGATGACCATGCCGCAATCCCTTCTCCTCCATTCTCCTCTCAGGATCTTGGGCACGCACGCACACGCGCCCGGCGTGAGTTTTAAGCCACCGGGTCCGGGACATGAACCGCGGTTGACTACGTGGGAGTCCAGCGACATAGCCATTACGCTAACTGCTGGTCCCCAAGCTCTGCTCTTAACAGAGTTCTGTGCTCTTCTGACTGTGGCCTCTGCCGGTTATTTCTGAAATAGTCATCTTTAAGTTTCCCTATTTATTTCATGAGATAGAGAGACAGAGAGATACAGAGAAGGAGAGACTTGGATCCCATGACCTGGTCTTCTCACAATCTGGTTTGCCTCAGCTTTCCAGCCAGCTAGGGTCCCTGACACACCTGTGGTCATGCCCAGTGTGTTCGGGTTGACCCAAGAACCAAACCTTGGTCCTTCCCAAATGGTCCCAGTGTCCCATCCCAGGGTTGGGCCTCTCATTCCATTCTGCGTTTACCACCCACCTCCCTCAACTACCCATCATCCTTCCAGTGTCCACTCAATACCCGCCCATCTCTTTGTCCACCTTCACATCTATCCAGCTTCCTCCCAGTCCTCTGTGTTACCATCTATCCACATATTTCAGCCCTCTGCCACCCATCCCTCATCCTCTTCTCCATCTCTCTATCCATTGATCCATCTTTCAGGTCACCCGGAAAAATCACAACACATTCTTGCACTGAAAAACAGAAAAGTACCCGATGACTTTCCTGACGGCCTAATACTTCCTCCTTCCTTCCCTGTGCACTCATCTATCCATTCATTTATCCACTCCATTCATTCCCTGCCCTCTCGGCTATACATTCATCTATCCATTTCCCCATTCATTCCCTATCCTCACCCACCAGAGAGCCTTTCACTCATCCACTGACTCACTTAGCTTTCCTTCCACCCGTTCCTCCTGCTTGCCTGGTCATCCCCTTTAGGCCAGAGATGTCTTCTTAGTGCCTGACCCTGTGCTTGGCCTAGAAGAATCACTAACAAATGATCCATCCTTTGGCAACTGCCCTATACAGGAGCCCTGGTGCTCCTGCCTGGAGTCCATTCCTGAGTGGTCTTAGGTGTATGGTTGCTGTGGCCGCACTGAGCCCTGGGACCATGTGAGCCTGCCCTGAGGGCAAGTCAGCTGGAGCCACATCTGGGAACTTCCAGCCCTCAGCGTCCCTGGGACTGCTCTTCTTGTGCTCTGGTCACTGTTCCAGCTGCACACCTAGCCTGTCACTCTAGCCAGGGCTGTCTCTTGGGCCTGTGGCTGTTTGGCTTCTTTGTGCCTAGTGGGTTTGCAGGAGCCTAACAAGGTGTCCCAGTGAGTCAGGGCCTCAGCTGGGCCTCAGCAGCCTGGGGCCGGAGCAGTGCCAGCCCTGGAGGCCCCTGTGTGCATGTCCACATGTTCACCCTCTGTGGTTAGGCCAGATGCCCAGGAGGGTACCACAACCAGCAGTCCAGTCCTTTCCCTGTTGCCATGAACACCTGGGGCCCCTATAGGTCTGTCCTGGGTACTTTATGGGATGAGAATTAGAGCCACAGAGAAGGTTCTAGACATGAGCTTGAACTCTTGATTTCAGGGGCCAGGCAGAGCTCGTTGGAAGTCTCAGCTTCTCCACTCAGGAAGTCATGGCCCCTTTCAGAGCCTCTGTCACTGTGTCTGTCAGATGGGAGGGATCCTACCCTTCCCCTCATTCAGTGTGAAGATAAGTCACGTGATACTTGTCCAGAGCTTCTGACGTGCCTGACACAGTGCTCTGAGTTGCCACCTCCATAACTAATTGCCATGTTCTAGCAGATCAGAGGAGGAAGATGAGGCCCAGAGAGAGGCAAAACCTTGCCAGAGGCTCTTTGTGGGTCTTTGGTGTAGCCAGGACCGGACACCTTAGCTCTGGGGACTGTCATGGCTATCCACCCTTCCTGCTGCCCTGAATTTGGCCCAGAACCAGTAATCCTTGACTCTCATCCACTCAGATTACTGTCATGACAATGCAAGATGGCATGTCTGTGGATGACCATTGAGATACCTGTTGTCAATAGGCTGCAGGGCAGAGGAGCTTGGCCCCACTGAGCCCCTGGGGCCACGTGAGCCTGCCCTGAGGTTGAGTCAGCTGGAGCCAGAGAAGAGTTCAGACCCTGTGAGGCACAGAGTTTCCTGGATGTCATGGTAGGCCCCAAAATACCTGGATCTCCCATCCAAACAAGGCAGGGATGTGCATGTGGAGGCTAGACCAAGCCAGAACAGGGCAGATAAACCAAGACAAACAGACAGGGAATCCTGTCCTGGCTAATGCAATGTAGAGGCCAAATCTAGTCCAAGGAAATGTCACTTGCTGGCTTGTCCACTAAGGGGGCTCATTGAGTACTGGTTTGAAGGCCATGCTAGTTCCCAGAGGGTTCTGGTTCAAGTTAGAGTTTGGGAGGAAGACCGACTTTGGGAGACAGAGGATGGGTGGGCCTAGGCGGAGTAGGTAGACAGCGGGTCCTTGCTGGATCAGAGCCAGAGATGACCATCACATTCCTTCTGTGAGGAACTGCTAGGTAACCTGCACTTTAGGGATGCAGGCAGTGAGGTGGGCCCCACTGGCTTCTAGTCCCACTGAAATGGCTATGGGCAAATCACTTTGCTCTCAGTTTCCTGTCTGTGGGGAGGAGCGTTGTGAGGAATGTGTTGATGAGGATAAGCTGATCCTGAATCCTGGAGGACTTCCCGACCCATGGTGTGCTCAGAGGATCTCTAGGCCTAGATCCATTTACCATCCTCTTGCAGTGGTAGGTCTCCACAGGGAGGGATCACCAGCCAACACAGCCCTGCCCACAGGCACCAGGCCAGGCCAGATTGGGCTGGAGCTTAGTGTAAATGCTCTTGATATGAAACACGTTCCTCAGACATGACCTCATGCAGCTTCTCTCTTGAAGGGCTGGTGGGAGGGACTTAGGCCCCAGGCCAGTGTAGAGCCTGGAGGAGCTCCTGGAGTCCTGCTCCTGGAGCCCCCGCTAAGTGTCCTTACCATCACAGTTATACAAAGGGCTTCTCAGGGCAGCTCAGCTCCAGGATTCTTCTCCCCTACTTACCTACTTGCTACTGCAGCCCTGGGGGATAGGTGTATCTCAGAACCTGGAGGCTTAGGGAGATCTAGACCTGCCCAGGGTGACACAGCCAGAGAAAGCCTGAGTCAGAGTTTGGATCCTGATCTGATGGAATCCAAGTTTGGTGAAGTCAGGAGTCTGAATCGAGTTCAACACTTCAGTAGGAACTAACGTGTGGACCTGGCCTTGTCCTATTACAGGGGTCACACCATCTCTGATGAGTTCACTCTTATTACTAGAGGACTAGTAGTTCATTTATTTACCCATAATCCATCATCCATCAATTCATCCATCTAATCAGTCATCCATTTATTAATCCATCCACTTACTCACTCACCCACACACTATCCATTCATTCACTCACTCTTCCACCCATCAATCTATTCATCCATATACTCATTTATCTACTCACTCTTCCATCCATCCATCCTTCCATCCATCCATCTCTCTACCTACTCACCATTTGTCCACCCTTCCATTTATTCATTCATTCATCCCTCTATTCATCCTTCCACCCACCCATCCATTTATTCATCTATTCATCCTTCCACCCACCCATCCATTCATCCATCTATTCATCCTTCCACCCACCCATCCATTTATCCCTCTATTCATCCTTCCACCCACCCATCCATTTATCCATGTATTCATCCATTCGCTCTTCCATTATCCATCCATCTAGCCACTCACCCATCTACTCACGTATCAACTCAATTACCCATCCATTCATCCCTCCACCTACCCACCCATTCATGCACCCATCCATCTACTGATTCATTTATCTATCCATTCATTCATCCACTCACACCCATTCATCCATCCATCCATCCATCCATCCTTTCTTGCTGTTTTCTGGGCATAAAGAAGTCCTGATGAGAATTTGTACTGATTTTGGGAAGGGCCCTATGGTCATCCACCTATTCAGACCTAGCCAATTCTATCATGAATTCTAACCCCCGCTCTAGTTTCAGAGGTGAGCCGGGAGGCCCTGTCGCTGGGCACAGAGTCTGAGCTGCCCAACAGCCTGCCGGGTGATGACCAGGATGAGTGCCTGCTTCTCCCAGGAGAGCTGTGCCAGCACCTGTGCATCAACACGGTGGGCTCCTACCGCTGCGCCTGCTTTCCTGGCTTCTCTCTGCAGGATGATGGTCGCACCTGCCGCCCAGGTAAAGGCTAGAAAGGGTTTCCTCAGACAGGAAAGTGACAAGGGCTGGTCTTGTCAGAGAAGCATGGAATTCCTGGGGTGGAGTCAACAGGGTTCTTCACCTTCTTCCTCCTCACATTGGGACTGGCAGGATCCTGGGGCCTCGGACAGTGGAGATTTTTGAGGCCAAGCAGACAGAGACTTCTGTCCTCGAGCTCCACCTGCAGGAGCTGGTCCTAACATCCTGTGCTGGTTGCGGGCTCAGGGTAGGCTCAGGCCACAGAGGCTCTCAGCACACCCGACTGTGTCCTGGGCCTGTAGTGGTCAGATCCCAGGAGGTCTACCTCAGCCCCTGGCCCAGAAAGGCTTTCTCCCAGCCTGCTGTCTTGGGACTGATTTGTTTTCAATGCAGACAGACTTTCTCCTTCTCCTCTCTTCTTCCTTGCCTCTTTCCCATCATCTTTCTCTGCCCTGAATAGCTGTGAGATGGGTCTTCCCAAGGTGTGTCTATACCCTGAATCTCAGGTGCCTCACCTGTGAAATGGGGTGGGGAGGAGCTAAAGGAGGTGATCTGGCAGTGCCTGATGTGGTGCCTGGGCCTGAGGAAGGCCTGTTGAGTGCTGGAGGACCGGCTGAAGACATGAGACCACCTTCCTGTGACAGATGGGAGCCCTTCACAGCCGGAGGCCGCACAGGAGTCTGCACTGAGGCCAGAATCTGCCCAGATGACTGCCAACACCATTCCACTGCCAGTGCCACAGCCCAACACCTGCAAAGGTGAGCAGAGGGGGGTGTTCCTGCAGGGACCAGCCTTAGCCCACCTGGGCTGCTTGCAAGTGGCGAGCTGTCTGGTGTACGGCACGTGCGAGTGGCAAGCCGTCTGGTGTGGGGCACGTGTGAGAGGTGAACTGTCTGGTGTGGGCACGTGTGACTGGTGAGCTGTGTGGTGTGGGCACGTGTGAGTGGCGAGCTGTGTGGTGTGGGGCATGTGTGAGTGGTGAGCTGTGTGGTGTGGAGCATGTGTGAGTGGCGAGGTCTGGTGTGGGGACTGTTGGGG